CCATGTTCATAGCAGCACTATTTACAATAGCTAAGATCTGGAAACAACCCAAGTGTCCATCAGTAGATGAGTGGATAAAAAAGCTGTGGTACATGTACACAATGGAATACTAGGTAGCTGTAAGAAAGAAAGAGCTCTTATCCTTTGAGATGACATGGATGCACCTGGAGAATATTATGCTAAGTGAAACAAGCCAAGCAGAGAAAGACAAGTATCACGTGATCTCACTTATTTGTGCAATATAATGAACTAAAGAAACTGATGAACAAAATTGACCCAGTGACATAGAGGTAGGGTGAAGACTGACAAACCTCAGAAGAGGAGGTGTTGGGGGGGGAGAGATAAACCACTTATATGTATGTATGTATGCATAACCAATGGACATACACAACAAAGCTGGGGATTGGGTGGGTGGGGGATGGAGGAGGGGGTCAATGGGGTAAAAGGACAAACATCTGTAACAAAAACAACTTAATAGAAATAATTTTTAAAATAAATAAAATGTCAGTCTACAGCCAAAAATGAAAAAAGAAATCTACGGCATTCTTATACACCAACAATGAACTCACAGAAAGAGAAATTTAAAAAAACAATCCCATTCACCATTGTGGTAAAAAAATTAAGATTCCTAGGAATAAACTTAACCAAAGAAGTAAAGGACCTATTTGCAGAAAACTACAGGACACTGAAAAAAGAAATAGAGGAAGAGATAAAAAAAGTGGAAGAACATACCTTGTTCATGGATTGGAAAAATTAACATCATTAAAATGTTCATACTACTCAAAGCAATCTATAGATACAATGCAATTCCCATCAAAATACCAATGACATATTTCACAGAATTAGAATAAATACTTCAAAAGTTCATATGGAAACAAAAAAGACCTCAAATAGCCACAGCAATCTTGAAAAAGAAGGACAAAGTAGGTGGGATCACAATACTGGATACCAGGTTATACTACAAAGCCACTGTAATCAAAACAGCCTGGTACTGGCACAAGAATAGGCATATAGACCAGTGGGACAGAATAGAGATCTAAGAAATGGACCCAAGACATTATGCTCAATTGATATTTGACAAAGGAGGCAAGAGCATACAGTGGAGTCTAGACAGCCTCTTTAATAAACGGTGTTGGGAAAATTGGACAGCTACATGCAAAAAAAAAAAAATGAAAGTAGACCATCAATTTACTCCATATACAAGAATAAACTCACAATGGATAAAAGACTTAAATGTGACTCACGAATCCATAAAAATCCTAGAAGAAAATGTAGGCAACAAAATTTCAGACATCATACACAGCAGAATTTTCACTGATACATTACCTAAGGCAACAGAAACAAAGGAAAAAATGAACACATGGGATTACATCAAACTAAAAAGCTTCTACACAGCAAAAGAAATGACCATCAAAATGGAAAGGGAACCCACTATATGGGAGATACATCAGATAAGTGGTTAATTTCCAAAATATATAGAGTGCTCATACAACTCAACAAAAAGAAGACAAAGAACCCATTTAAAAATTGGGCAGGGGACCTAAATAGACACCTCTCCCAAAAGGATATAAAAATAGTCAAGAGATACATGAAGAAATGTTCTATGTAACTAATCATCAGACAGATGCAAATTAAAACTATGAGGTATCACCTCACACCTGCCAGAATGGCTGCCATCAACAAATCATCAAACAACAAGGGCTGGCAAGGGGGTAGAGAAAAGGGGACTCTAGTACACTCCTGGTGGGAATGCAGACTGGAGCAGCCACTATAAAAAACAGTATGGTATTTCCTCAAAAAATTAAAAATTGATCTGCCATTTGACCCAGTGATCCCATTTCTAGGAATATATCCTGAGAAACCTGAAACACCAATCAAAAAGAATATATGTACCCCTATGTTCATAGCAGGACTATTTACAGTTGTTAAAATCTGGAAACAGCCCAAGTGTCCATCAATAGATGAGTGGATAAAAAAGCTGTGGTACATATATATACAATAGAATACTACGCAGCTGTAAGAAAGAACGATCTCTTATGCTTTGAGATGACATGGAGGGACCTCAAGAGTATTACGCTAAGCAAAGTAAGCCAATCAGAGAAAGACAAATACCACATGATCTCACTTATTTGTGGAATGCAATGAACAAGGTTGGCTGATGAAGGAAATAGACACTGAGACATAGAAAGGAGTATGGTTCAAACTGACAAACTTCAGAGGAGATGAGCGGGGGGATGGATCAGATGAACCAAAGAACTTATATGCATGTATGCCTAACCAATGGACATGGACACCAATTCTGGGGCGATTGGGGGGAAGTGGGAGGGGGAGGAGAGTGTCTAGTGGGGGAAAAGGAGAAACATCTGTAACAAAAATAAAAAAAATTTTTTTAAATGTTATTGGTTTTTTTTTAGAGATATAGACAGAAACATTGATGGGAGAGACATTCATAGGTTGCCTCCTGCACTCCCCCTTATGGGGATCCAGCTGGCAACAGGGGCATCTGCCCTGACTGGAATCCAACAGGGAACTCTCAGTTCATGGGAGGACACTTGCTCCACTGAGCCACACCAGGCAGGGCCAATTTTCCCTTAATATCTCTTCCCCCATCCCCATCTAAATCCAAAGAAAACAGGTCCCACCCCTCCAAGATCTAAGATAGGGCCTGGTCCCCATGAAGTGCCCACTAAGTAAGTTGCCTGCATTTACTCTGCCAAACACTGTTCTGGGCGCTTTACCTGTTGTAATTCATTTACTCTCTACAACACCATGCAAGGTGAATACTATAATTTCCAATCTCATTTCACAGATCTGAAACTAAAGTTAATACATGCAACAAACAGAAAAGTAAACAGGTATGTATAATTCTCCCTTTATTTAGCTTAGATGATATGACTGTCATTGTCCTGATCCGTGCCCCGCCCTTTAAAAAAGCATTTGAGTCCTGGCCGGGGTGGAGTAAGGAGATTGCTGCGTTGGTCCATGGCTGGTCAGGGCACAAACCCAGGTTTCCAATTTGATCTCTCATTGATGTTTCTGTCTCACACTCTCTCCCTTTCCTTTCCTCTCTCCCTAAAATCAATAAAGGAGAGAAAAAAAATTTTTTTTAATTAAAAAGCATTTGAGGGGGGCGCTGCCAGCATTGTCTCCTACCAGGGATGTGCAGCAGTGGGATGCACTCACTACACGTTCACATGTCAAGCAACCAAGTAATCGTATTAAACTGCTTACCTGTCGGAGGCAGGTCCTTCCGGCCCTTTGTATGAAGAGGCTAGGCCTGGAGCCGGCTTTAGGGCGGAGTTCCCAGAAGCCAGACCCCGGATGTCCTCCCTCTCTGTACTTTCATTTCTGCCAGAGCTCTCCACGCGCTCTTGCGGAGGCGGGAGCGGGTGACTGTCCAGCAGCCCAGACTGATTATCCATATTGGTTTCTCGCTCTGTAACCTATTCTTGCCTTATTATTCATCCTGGTTTCTCGCTCTGTAACCTATTCTTGCCTTAGTCCGGTGCGGACTAAGTCCTTCCAGACACGGAGTGTCTCAGAACATAAACCTCTTGAGGGAAGAGCCGCCCACTGCGCATAGAAATCTTTTAGGGTTTACTAATTCTGAGCACAGTTTACATTAAAAATGTAACACCCTGGCCCGGCGGTGTGGTTCAGTGATTGAGCGTGGACCCACGTACCAAGAGCTCATGGATTGGTTTCCCAGTCAGGGTACATGCCCAGGTTGTGGGCCAAATCCAGAGTGGGAGGCATGCAGGAGGCGGCCAGTCCATGCTCTCTCTTATAGACGTTCCTGTCTCTCTCTCTCCCTCTCCTTTCCCTCCTCTCTAAAATCAATAAAGGAGAGGGAAAAAAAAGGTAACACCCTGGTCTTGGCCGGTTTGGCTCAGTAGTTGGAGCATAGGCCTGCGGACCAAAGAGTGCCAGGTTCCATTCCACCAAGTACACGTACCTCAGTTGTGGTTCCTCCCGGCCTGGTTGGGGTCCTGCCGCTGGCAACCAATTGATGTGTCTCTCTCACATGGATGTGTGTCTCTTTCTCTCTCTCTCTCCCTTCCACTCTGAAGATAAATGTAAAAATATCCTCCGGTGAGGATTAAGTTTTTCCTATTGCCCACCGTCACTCACAATTGCGACCTCGCAATAAAGATCTCCCTGCGTAGCTATCTAAGCCACCAAGCGGACAGGACGGGGCTGGCACTGTGGCACGCAGGGACTATGAAACCGCTAGGCAATCCTCAGGGGAGTTTGCCTTACACGTCCCCTCTTCCGCGTCTTAGACATCACGTCTCAATCAGCGTTAGAGAAGCATTTTCAAACACGGTGGTGTTGGTTTCAAAATGTATCTGCACGCGTTACCAAATGATGTTGCGTAGCAAGAGGACCCTGAGGTCTTGTTATTTCATCTTGCCCTATGTGATACACGGCGCCGCCATCTTGCGCAGAATTGAATCATGGGGGCCGTCATTTTGAAAGAGAGGGCGGGTATTTCCGGTTCCGGCCGGGGGCTGCTCTCTCTTTTTCTCGGTAGGACTGCGGCCGAACTGGTTGTGCTGCTCATCACTCTACGGTATCCAGCTCCATCCTCGTCGCTGCGGCGACACCCGCACCCAGCGCCGTCATGACTGAACAGATGACCCTTCGTGGCACCCTCAAGGGCCATAATGGCTGGGTGACCCAGATCGCTACCACTCCCCAGTTCCCGGACATGATACTGTCCGCCTCTCGAGGTATGAACTAAGATGCAGGGCGAAGGATTGGAGTAGAAGACGGGTTGTTCGCGTCGCGTGGTTGGGCTAGTCGCGTGTTGGCGGTCGGGAAAACTCTGGGTGTAAGGGATATATGGACCTGTGCCTAGGCCTCAACCGGAATACAGGCATCGAGATATAGATCAGCCAGTGGCTGCCAGGAGGGTTGCAGGATTAGGAACTTTTTATATCTTGAGCTCACCTCCCCGCAGATGTGTTGAAGTGTTCCCAGGAGCCTATGGGTCGGGCGGGGCGGTGATGACACCAACATGCCATCTGAGTGCCGGTGCTGAGACCCAGAGGCTGTTTCTGAGCTGCCGCCCGGCCCTGTACTCACTGGGAAGTGAGTGGACTCCAAGGGGACCACGCGTAACTAGACTCCGGGCTGGCCTGAGCCTGCCATTACTGTCCCATATTTTCTTCTCATTTCTGCACCTGACCACATTTGGAAGTTTCTTGTGCCCTCCGTTTGCACCCACATTTGAAGATGGTCTGAGGTTAGGGTCGCCTCTCTGGTGCTTACTCGGAAAGCTTGAGTGAAACACATTTCAGTGAAAGCTCCCGTCCTGTATAGTTTAAAGCGACTTGACTAGTTCCTGCACTTTCCGGAGCCCTCAGCTAGTCTTCCAAGTGGCTGTGTTTTGCATTAGATGTCAGATAAAACTGAAATAGATGTTGAATTGGTTTCAATCTCAGAAAAGAGCAGCCGTAACCTCTGGTAAAGTTCTGCACACCTGAGTTAAATTCTCTCACCATACTGCTTAGGTCTACTTACTTGACTCTTTTTTGCTTGTTTGAATTGTACGTGCCCCTAGCAGAACCGAACCCAGGACTCTGGTCCGCAGGCCGATGCTCCAACTGCTGAGTCAAACTGGCTAGGGCCTTATTTGACTCTCTTGAATAGTGAGTCACTTGGCCTTGGCTGGTAATGCTCTTATATCCTGCAGTTCCCCTCCCTAAGTGTCCTTAATTTGTAAGATTTTAGACCCACCAATGACCTTGAGGTGTCTTGGTGAACAAGTGACATGTGGGGTTCCCCAGTGAGTTTCCTTTTCCGTTTTATTTACCTTTAGACAAGACCATCATTATGTGGAAGCTGACCAGGGATGAGACCAACTACGGCATCCCACAACGCGCTCTTCGGGGTCACTCCCATTTTGTTAGTGATGTGGTCATCTCCTCAGATGGCCAGTTTGCCCTCTCTGGCTCCTGGGATGGAACCCTTCGCCTCTGGGATCTCACAACGCAAGTAGCTGCCCACTTAGCTCTGGGTCATTGAGGGAAAGCTGAGCAGAAATGAGGTAGATACTGTTGGGAGGTGGTTTCCCATGGGCCATCAGGTTCCTTGTGGGAATTGTCAGTCAAGGGAGCACCTACAGAGGATAGTTGGGGTTTTTTTGACCTCCCTCCTCATTGGTTTCAGTTAGTTATGTGGAAGTGCTGAGGAGTGGTCCGGTTTAGCGGTTTTGCCAGAATTGCTGTTGAGAGTAGGCAAGAGTTTGAATAGGTCCTATATTGGGAGCTCAGTCTTTGGATAGTTAAGCGTAATGGAGGATCCTGGTGATGACAGGCAACGTTGTCAACCAATCTCCATGTGGGAGTGAGGACATGTCCTGCAATTCTGAAGGAATCCTCTGGCATATTCTTAGCCAAGGGCCTGCTATGATCAGAGCTATGTCCAGAGTTGTGAGTAAATGCAATTCCACTGGGACAGGAACAAGGCCAAGGAAACAGTCTAACTGGAATAATGCTTGCAAAGTCTATCTAGACAATGATCAAATCCTTCTTCACAGGGGCACCACCACACGCCGATTTGTAGGCCATACCAAGGATGTGCTGAGCGTGGCCTTCTCCTCTGACAACCGCCAGATTGTCTCAGGCTCCAGAGATAAAACCATCAAGTTATGGAATACTCTGGGTGTATGCAAATACACTGTCCAGGTAAAGTGAAGGCACGTGTTAAGGTTCTCTCCCACCCTTAATCTGGGCCTTATGTGGTTTTCAGGCCTCATCTGAAATCTAAAGGTTTCATTGATTGTAAAGATTTGGGTTCAGAAGTGTGAAAACAAGACTGTCATTATAACTGAGGGGTAGGGGTCATGGGACAAGATGGTTTTCCCTAATTTCCTTTTTATCTGTAGGATGAGAGCCACTCAGAGTGGGTGTCTTGTGTTCGTTTCTCACCCAACAGCAGCAATCCCATCATTGTGTCCTGTGGCTGGGACAAGCTGGTCAAGGTGAGCTTGGAGCTAGGGTGTAGGGTCTTTTGCCAGCTGGGATGTTTCCACTGCCTCCTGGGTGGTCATAGGCTCTGGCTTCGAAAGGTTTGTTTCTCTGTTTACTTTTTTCCTCAGCTAGTTGGTCTAAAGTATCTAATTGATGAGCTTAAGTCACATAAGGCAACATATAGAACATTTATTACCTGTTTAAAGCCCACTTGTTCATAGTGGCCAAGACACTTTCTTTTTTTGTTACTGATAGAATGAAAAATAGCCACCATATCCAGGAATGCTTAAATAACATTTAAAAGCCCTTTCCTTTTGGCTTGAGCTCTTCTGACTCTGGCAGATCCAGAGCCAGGTACTTCACCTATGACCACTACCATCCACCACCACCCCAAATGTAGGTATGGAATCTGGCAAACTGCAAGCTGAAGACCAATCACATCGGCCACACAGGGTACCTGAACACTGTGACAGTCTCTCCAGATGGATCCCTCTGTGCTTCTGGAGGCAAGGTACTCAGGGGCCAGGAGTTTCCTACTCAGTGGGGCAGTATCTGAGAACACTTAAGACAATGAGATAGCAATGCAAGAATAAATGTTTCTGAAGATCACTTTCTGAAATTGACATAGATAAGGCATATTGTTTAAAAGATTGCCTTCTATAAATCTGGTTTCTTGAAGCTATTGATAAGATTAGGATATCATTTTTACAAACTGATCATAGTGATTTAGAAGTCACAGGCTCTTGGTAGGGTTGGTGAGTGAGGTGTTGCATTAAAGGAAATGTACAGAGGGGTAAATATTGCTACTTGAGTCATTTGGGGGAAAGTTCAAGGTATGAGGGGTGGGGTAGTTAAGACAATCTTGAGACAGCTGGGATTAATGTCTGGAAGAGGTCACATTACCTTACCTTTCCTCTCCCAGGATGGCCAGGCCATGCTGTGGGACCTCAACGAAGGCAAGCACCTTTACACACTTGATGGTGGGGACATCATCAACGCCCTATGCTTCAGCCCCAATCGCTACTGGCTCTGTGCTGCCACTGGCCCCAGCATCAAGATCTGGGTGAGTGTGGGCTGCAGTTGAGGCCAGGTACCTACTTGTACTCTGTAAGCCATGGCAACATTGTGATTTCCTGAATAACTGCTGTCAGGGTGTTGATGGAGACCCAGAAAATCCTAAAATTTCCCTGGGGTTGGGATTTGCAGTGATTCAATCTTTGCCTACTGAAAGGGATAGCCAATTATAACAGTTTATTCAACCTCAGCACAATTGACATTTTCATCTGAATAATTTACCGGAGTGGGTGAGGTGTAGTCCAGTTTAGATTGTTTAGCAGCATCCGTGGTCTTGACTCACCAATAGATGCCTATAGTAAACTCCCTTAGTGACAACCAAAAATGCCTCTAGGCATTGCCAAGTGGGGGGCAGGGGTGGCAAAAAAACATCCTCCGTTGAGATTACTGAGTTATAAAGGGTCTTTTGAGAGGGGACCCAATCTGTTTTGAGTTTGCGGTGGGGGTTGTTTGGTTTGGTTTGTATTTCAGTGTTGCTGGCATTAAAGTGCCGAGTTTCCTTACCCCCCGTTTTGTTCCTTCCCCAGGACTTGGAGGGCAAGATTATTGTAGATGAGTTGAAGCAAGAGGTAATCAGTACCAGCAGCAAAGCAGAGCCACCCCAGTGTACCTCTCTGGCCTGGTCTGCTGATGGCCAGGTAAGTTTGTGTGTCCTCAAGTGACTCGGCTCCTATCTCTTCCTATCTGTTCTTAGTGTGCCTTGTGTGCCAATTATAAGATCAGTATCTCTGATATAAAGTAAAATTACAGCATTAGGATAATTTAGGAGGACCTATTTAGCTGTGCCAGTGAACACAGAACGTGTTACTGCATTGGAGGGAAGGTTGTGGTCTAGAGGGCAATGATTACCTGTTTTCAGTTAACTTTAACTTGATCAGTTTATAAGAGTATATGTTGCTTTCTCTAAGAATGATCATCACCCATAATCATGTAGCTAGATAAGTAGGGATTTTAAGGGCCATCTTTGCAGTACAGTAGGACTGCAAAAATTCAATGGCTCTGACCTATCACTGTCATTTTTCCTTTGCAGACTCTCTTTGCTGGCTACACAGACAACCTGGTGCGAGTGTGGCAGGTGACTATCGGCACCCGCTAGAAATAATATGGCAGAGCTTTAGAAATAAAAAAACTGGTTTTCTGACTCAGTCTTTCTCTGATTAGGGAAAAAGCTTCCTGTGCTATGCTGCTTACAGGTTTAGTTAAGATACTGGCAGGCTGGAAGCATGGGGCAAGTAAACAAGGCTTTGGGGAGGAGAGGGAAAGATGTCAGTCTGTTAGGTTCCTTCATCACAATATCCTTTTTCAGATAGATTCTTAGTGCCTCCCTTAAGCCTGAAGAAACTGTTCAGTGAAAGGGACTTATTATTCCAGGATTTTGCAATCAATTTAAAATTAGCAGAATCCTCACATCCAACTTTATTTTATAAGGTTTTTGTAAGTTTTGTTTTGAGAGGGAGAGAAGCACCCCCTACTGGGGATTGAATCTGCAACCTTCTGGGCCACACCAGCCAGGGTCAGGTCCAATTCTTTTAATACATTAAAAAAAAATTGAAAGATGCATTTTGTCATTCCTCCAAAGGGAAGATTAGACAATTCAGAAAACCATCTGGTTAGGATTAACGTAGTCTACATCATCGGGTCTTTGTTAAAATAGAGGTTTTTAAAAATTCTTCAAGGCAAGTCAACTCAAAGAATTGATTCTTTTTTTCTTTTTTAATCCTCACCCAGGGACATTTTTCTGTTTTTTGTTCAGATAGTGGGGGGGGGGGACACATCGATGTGAAAGGGACATACCGAGTGGCTGCCACCTGCACAGCCCAACCAGGGCCGGAGACAAACTGCAACCGAGGTACGTACCCTTATTGGCAACCAAGCCCAGATCTCTGGACTGCAGGCCAATGCTCTAACCACTGAGAAAGCTGTCCAGGGCAGAATTGCTTCTTAATACCTTTTAACTATTTCCATAATGGAGATTTAAAGTTGGTTAGTGATCTGGAGGTAGTTAGTATTCATAATCACAGAGCCAGCTAAGTGGCAAACATCTTGAAGTAGCCTTATATACCTGCCATTTCCTCCTCAACTAATGGTAATGTGGCATATCTAGCTTTAACTTTATGGGATTTCTAGATACATTCGCTTATAAAAATACTTCGGAAATATCGTTCCTGGGTCCTGAACCACCAGTGTAAAGATTCTTAGGGAAACAGTTGTAATGCCTCAGGCAGGAATTAACAAGTACAATCTGAAGAGTGCCAATAAAACAAGTAGGATATACACATGGGTAGGGTTTATATCCTAATGTCTTGAAACAGGGGTCTCATGCCTAACATGCAACCAGATGTGCAACTGGTGCCATGAACCATCTCATTTAGTGGAGGAACTGGCTTCTAAGTTACATCCTCTAGTTTCTGCTCATCTAAAGGAATGGACTCCACAAAAGAAGCAAATAAAACTTTATTTCCACAACACAACCCAACTTCCCTTTCACCCAGGAACATAAATTGACTTGGGCCATCAATGCACAGGAGAAAAGCTGATAAATGACAGAAGGCAAAGGGTTACTAGAAAAATAGATTATACCCAAGGCTTTCCTCCTAGGGACCCAAACCCTGCTCCCCATCGGGGCTCATCAAATGGAACTAAAGGCATAAAAAAAGGATGGAAGCTGACAAAAGGAACTCGACTGAACAGGGGAAAAGGAGCCTGGCAGTGAAAAGGGTAGGGTGAGATTTGCTCCTAGATTAAGTGCGGGGGGGGGGGGGGGGGGGGGGGAGGATGAGAAAAATAATTTATTGGGGGATGTAATGGTATGTAGTTTCAATCATGTGGACCATTCCAGATCTCACTGAAGCTAAATTCTGGCCAGTCTATGGAGGTAGAAATTGGGGATGGAAGAAAGTTTAGGATCCTTCCCCAGAGAGCAGATGGTTCTTTTATCCAGCTCTACCCTTTGCCCAGCCTGCCTCCCCTCAAAAAGCTTCCAAATCCCTTAGCTAAAACTTGCATCAGAAAATGGAATTGGAATGGGGATAGTCATGAGTCTTGCCCAAATCCTCCAGCCTGGGAACTGACGTGAAGGTTGAAGAGCAGGGATGGGTAAAGGGAAGTTTATAAAATTAAATATCCCCTCCCCTACCCAACTCGGGCCCTTGGTGGACAGGGAGGGAAGACTAGGCAGCTGTTATCAGGGACCCATGCAGACCTGTTGGACAGATAGTAGGTGAGGAGAAGGTGGAGCTGGAGGCCAGAAGGGTTCCTTAAGTTCCTACAGGGAGAAGCAGGGTCCTGGGGTCAAGGAAGAGCAGGAAGCAATGCAGTAACAGTTTTGGGAGCCTTTGAGCCCCCAAACTTGGGCCACCCTCCACCACCACCCGCCCTGCCAGTGCTGACCAGAGGGGCCCTGCGGGTGGCAGGCTGATTAAGGGCACAGCTTGATGCGGGTACCCTTGGAGAGTACCCGGAAGAAAGGGAAGACACGCTCGCCCAGGAAGGCAGCTGAGAAGGTGTGCACATGGGCCAGAGTCTCTGCATTGTAGAAGCCCAGGCGCCCAGCCTCATAGTCCAGGTACACGCCAAAGCGCCGTGGTTTCTCACTTGGGCTCAGCAGTGTCTGCTCAGTCGAGGTTTGTGCCTGGTAACGTTTGCCATTGGTGCCTACACACCACACTTCCCGTTGGAGCAGGGGCTGCTGGGGTAGGTGGAGTCGGCGGCGGCGGTGGTGATGACGTGAAGAAGAGCTGGCATCCCCGATGCCCACTGAGGAACCCCCAGAGCCTACCTCCTTATGATGGGTTGATTCTCGGGCAGCTCCCACCGCCCAGCCCCGCCGCCCACCCACCTCTACCTCCCAGTAGTGCCGGCCAGAGCGGAAGCCCTGGGCCCCCAGTACGCAGCAGTCGGCCGAGAAGCGCTTGGAATGGTCAGCAACCTCCTGCCGCCGCTCTGCCAGGCGAACACCCCGGCGGTCAGGAGACAGCATCAGGGCCGGGTGAGCCGTGTCGGGGTCCAGTGTCAGGTCCACTTGGGAGGGGAGAGGATAAATACGCCAGGGATGGGCCCACTGTTCCCCATCAGCAGCCAACTCCAAGGTTCACGCTTTCCTAATGCCTTCCCCCCTTCACCTCCCCGACCCTCAGCTGTCCTTGGTTCCCCACCCCTTCCTAGAGGCCAGAATCAGGTTCCTATGGGTTCCACCTCTTTCCCCACTTTTGTTTCCAAGACACTAAACGGTATTTCCTCTAGCCCTGGCTCTTCTTGCCAGCCCTCAAGCCCTCACCCCCAACACCTACCTGGGCTAGGACAGAAGTCTTGGCTTGAAGCCCCAGGTGGCCTACCTGTAGCCTGTTCCATCTCAGCCCCCATTCTTCCCCTGGGGCCCATCTTCCCTCAGAACCCAATCTCAGGTCTGTAGAGGGAAAGGCAAAGGAAGGTCGCACAGGTGACCTCCCTACCTCGAGCAGCCTGACAGAACATCCGGCTCATTTTCCTCACGATGGCATCTGTCAGGAAGTCATGGCTATGGGGTTGACACAGGTCCGGGGACCAGATCTCTGGGGGCTGCAGCTGTATCTCTTCACACCTGGAGGAAGGGGACCAGGCAGGGGGTGGGACCATGATATTCCCAGAGGGGAGAATATAAACTAAGGGGAAGGAGAGGAGGGTACAGGAGGCAGAAACTCGGGTCCTGGGGAAGGAAGGAGAGGGGCAGGATAGCCAAAAGAGGCAGGGATGGGGAACCAGATGCCACTGGGTCACAAAGGATAAAGGGTGAGAACACACCTACTGAAAGTCTCCTTGATGTCCTGGGAATAACAGAAACACAAAGAAGGAGAGGGAGAAAGAGACAAAGAGAGAGTCAGCTGTGCAGGGATGGCTCCTTTCTCCCAGTCTGATTCCAGCCAGAGAAAGACTGAACATAAACAGGGAGTGAGAAAAAGCACCTCAAGGCCCTCAATAAACAAGCATCCATCTCAATTATCCCTATGCCTCAATGTACCTAACTCCTCTCATCCTGCTGTGAGCCTAGAAATAGAATGTTCAACCCCCATAAAATAATTTTCACAATATGTCTTGGTCATATTTTTCAATTTGTCACTGTCAAAAATTCTTTCCTCGACTCTCATTTAAAACCCTCCTTCTACAACTGAATCTTAATTTTCATTTAGTATAATCACACACATACATTTAGTAATAAGTCTTGTCTTCAGCCTCAAAAGACCTTTGGGTCTTTAGGTGAAATCCCTGTGGGTTCCTCCCAATGAGAAAAGGCAGCTAAAGATAGGTGTTTGGTAAGCAATGCCTGACAGAGCAAACACAGGGTGCTGGGGAGTAGACAGGGAACGGTACACTGCTTACCTGGAGCAGCCGTAGGCCCCCCTGCTGGCTCCGTTCCTGGGCCTCAGCCAGCAGGCGGCTCAGCTGGGCTGCCTGCTCTGCTAGCCGGCTGGCGGCTGCTCCTGCACGCTCCAACTGGGCTTCATGCATCTCTCGAAGACGCCGCTCCAGCCCTGCCTGCTCTTCAGCCAGAAACCTTGTCAGGCGCCCAAACTCTGAGGCCACAGCTGCCAGCTCTGACTTCATCTGGCTCTGGGATGATGCAAAGGGGATGGTGGATACCACCTCAACACACAAACATAAACCTCCAATTTTGCAACTGCTGCCCCTCAATCCAAAGCAAAGGAGCCCTACATTCCAAATGGAAGGAGGCACCCATCCCCTTTCCCACCTCCCGGCCTTACAGGCATCACTGCACCACTCCCCGCATACTGGTCCAAAACTCACCCACTTCTGTCTGCAATACTTATCTCTACCTTGGCTACCTAACCTGACTCACTCTTCAGATCTAAGCTTTACTATTCCCTAGGAGAAACCTTCCCTCCCCACCATATCTAAATCAGGACTACTCCTACAAATATCACTGTCTTTCCTCATAGCATATATCTCAATTTGAAATGTTTATGTCTTCAATGGAGTACACTTTAACATCCTTTTCCCTCACTGCACCATAAACTGCCACAGGATCCTTGGACCCTGGAACATTGCCAACCAGGGAATAGGTGCTTGGTAAGAATTTCTTGAAATGAATAAAAAATTCTGGAATCAATATATGGAGTTAGGGTCCTGACTATACCATTAGTGACCTTGGGAAAGTCACCCAATTCTAGATCAGGAATCAGCAAATTTTTTCTGTAAAAGGACAGATACTACTTTCTACTTTAAAGGCTAAGAGACAAAATCAAGGATATTATTATGTAGGTACTTCTATTATAAAAGAAAATATCCACTCCCACCCCATTTGCCTAAGCTGGGCAATCCAGATGGTAGGCACACTTTTTGCCCCTGTATCATCAGCTGGAGACATTCTTGGGACAAAGAGTGACAGGCCAGAGTGGGGACAGAAGTCCTGACTGATCAAGTGGGTGAAGTAAAAAAGTTAGTTTATCTTTTTGTCCCAGTGATACTCAGATCCTTACACTTTCTCTGCACACTGGGAGCCCAAAAGTCTCAATTTGGGCAACTGGCTGGAGGCGAGATGACTCCCCAACTCCCAGACCCAGATTCGACCATTTAGTGCAAGGCAGTCGCCAACAGCAGAGTCCCTAAAGTGTAGGTGGCAACAAGCACAGGCTCTGGGAAGTGAAAAGGTCCCATCCCTGGCCAGGGTGACAGGCATATGAGATGGGGGAAGGATATTTCAGACTTGGTCTCTGAAGCTCCACATCAGGCCATCCTAATGCCTGGTGGTCTTACAAAAACAGACAGGGGATGAGGGGTAGGAATTGGGGGAAAATAACTAAAAATACTCCTTGGGAATAGGTGAGCAATAATGAAAAAAGACTGAGAAACACTGGCCTAGAAGATACTAGATATCTGCAATTCTAACATTCATTAATTTCTCCCCTCCATTAGATTACCTTGGCCCCCTCTCATGCTCAGGGCTGCTCTGCCCACTACCTGACATCTATCCTGGGATCTGGGGCTTCTTGATGGCTGCTTCATGGATTCTGCCTTGCCCCCTTCTGCCCTCTGCTATCCAGCATGGTGGGCTCAACGTGGTGGAACACTGACTCCGGAGTTAGGTGTCCGGAGTGGTAAGCCTGCTCTGCGACCTTAAGCCAGACACCCAACATCTCCAAGCCAGGCCTCTGACCCCATTTTGGAACCTGGGAATGTATATACCTCCTGACCCTCTAAGGCCCTTTCTCCTCAGGACCTTGGGAGAGTGTCTACCTGTCTCCCAGGTATTGGCTGCCCTTCTTTCAGAGATCTAGTCACCACTTATGAGAGTGGGCAGCCCATCTTTCCTGTTCTGACCACAGAGCCACTTAGCCCTTATCAAAGACATTCACCTACCTTCAACTCTGTCACCCGCCTCTCCTCCTTGGCTTTCATCTTCTGCACAGCCTCCAGGTGCTTCCTTAGAGGTTCCACATGTCCCTGGAGTTTGGCCTGAGGGAACAGTAGAAGGTTGATGGCTTGGACTGCGAGAGGCACCTGCTCTCAGTACCCATCTCCCCCATACAGTGGTTTGGGTCTCAAACCCTGATCCCCACCACAGTTATCAAATGAACATCATACTCCCTTCCTCCTCTTCCTTCTTTTCAGATGATGACAAGGGCTCCAACCCTCCACCTGCACTCATGTCCATAGCCCAGGAATGTATTCTCTAAAGGTAGGATCCTGACTAGAGAACCCCATACTCAGAGGTAGAGTGGGCCTGGCTTGAACACCTCACCACATAAAGTCCTTCCATATGACTATTCCTGCCTATGGTCCCTTCCCCCTCCTAGGCAATCTTCCTCATACCTTTCATCTCTAAGTACTTTTCTGATGATTTTCATGTGATAAAAATCCATCAGTGGTCCTTCACCACTTGAAAAATATGAAGCTCTAACTGCCCCTACATTTCTAGCCTCGTTCTGTATTACCCCCGTCTACAGACTGTTTTAGCCATATAAAACTCCCTGTCTTTTTCTGGCTTTACAATACTTTCCATGCACTGCAATCATTACGACTGTGCCTGTCTTCCCCACAACAGAGGGGCTCCTGTAGGCAGGGCCGACACTTTATTTTTATTTTTTTTAAATATGTTTTTACTAATTTTTTAGAGAGAGGGGAAGGGAGAGATAGAAACATCAATGTGAGAAACATCCGTCGGCTGCCTCCTGCACACCCCTACTGGGGATCAAGCCCACAACTCCAGCATGTGCCCTATCCGGGAATAGAACTGGGATTTCGCAGTCCAGAGGATGATACTCAGTCCATTGAGCCACATCGGCCAGGCAAGAGTCGCCTCTTTAAACTCCATGTTTTCTTTCTGACCATCTGCTTTCTCTCCCACTCAATCACTTGATAAATGAAAAACAAAAACCCTCTCCTTCTAAAGATTTCATTTTCACAACAAATATGCATTTAGTGTTCCAATCATTTGTAGCAGTCTTTTTCTTTAAAGGTTGTTAGAGAGACCAGTATGGGTGAGATAAGCCCAACCTATTTGTTGTTTCTTTTTTTATGTCTTCTGCTTCTGTGTTTATCCCTCCTTTTCCTTGAGGGGTAACACAGGGCAGAAGAGCTCAAGCCTAGACTCCAATCTGATCTTAAATGCAGCAAGGTGACCTGAAGCAAGCCATGATTCCAGTTTCCTCATCTTAAAATGGGAATTTGGAATAACAGAATCTACCACTTGGGTAGTATGCTTAGCACAGTGTCTAGCATGTTAACAGATCAGTAAATGTTACCTAGTATTCTCCACCTAGGTCTTAAGCTACCAATGAAAGCCTGACAATGACCCTTGAATTAAAAAAGTTACTGACTCAGGGTACAAAAGGAAGCTGTTGCACAGGTTAGTTGTGTAAAAAATTACAGTAATAAGATTACAATCAACCCATAACATGAAAATAGCATAAACACAAAATTTTGCCTTTTGATATTACTTTCTATTTTTATCCAGTAGTGTCTATAATAATTTCAACTCTATTAATACAGAATTTATGACACCTACATTTTCCACTTAATAGTTTTCTTAAATTGTTGACAAAAAAATTCATAAGCAGAAGTTCAAATGAGGTACTATAAAAGAGAACTTTTCAAGGACCTTTAACTTTTTTGGAGCTTTATTTATATTTCATTTATGTGTTACTACCTAGCCAATAAAGAAATATTTCTACAAAACAATACAGTGCCAAGCTAGTGTTAGCTAGTGTAGGTATCGGAACAGAATAAACTACTTGCCTGTAAAATAGCCTATAACTTAGAAAGGAAATTACTCAAATTAGCTCTATATAATAAAATTTATGTATTGACATTTGCTGATCAGTTAATGTCAGGTTATTTGTGTCTATAGGACCTCCCCAAATTGCAGAGCCCTACTGGATTGGCATTCAACAGATGTGGTTAACACAAATAAAAATCCAGTTTCAGAAGCTCTTCAGAAGTCCTGCCAGGGGAGCATGAAGGAAAAAGGAGTGAATATCCATGGATATTCCACCTTGGGATCCAGTTAATAAGTGACTACACATTGTTTGATGGGTACAGTTACCTAGGAACTGACGGGATATAAAAGAGAAGGACAAAGGAGCTCACAACTGCCTCTAATAATGCAGGGCTGAAAAGGCAGGTGATATTACCAATGCACTGAGTCCTGTAATAGCCTGGGTTTTCTAAAGATACTCTCCTGGTTATGGTTCAGAATCTCTAGTGGTAGAACCACTCTACTTTTGAAAACCTCCACTAGTAATTTGGCCAATAAGCCAGGTTTGACAATCATTGTGTGGAATGAATAGTTAACCTATCATGAAGGATGTCAGTTTGTCTTAGCTATACCACTCAAAGCTGAGAAGCTCCAGACACATTACTCCAAAATTGGTGTAATGATAATAATACCTAAATGAGGTTACTGTAGGAATAAGAAGGTGTGAAAACACAAGTCATAAAACAAACAGCTCTGTGCCAATCACATAGAAGCTACCTTCTCCTCTTCCCGGTACCACTGCTTCAAATACATCCAGGCCTTCGCTAAGTAGTGTTTGTGCTGGCTGTCTCACAGCCAAATCTCCTTTACCTATGTCCAAAAAGAGTCGGGATCAAAAGTAGGGGGCAAGGTATTAACCAAAATATAATCAGACTCCAAGATGAAGTTGCATATCAGAAAAGCCAAATAAACAGACATCCAAATAGTGGTGACTTTGTTAATAGTCTAGACCAGGGGTGAGGGTGGGGGATAGGTCATAACCAAGTCCATCACTTACTAGTAGCTGTGTAGCCCTGTGTATATTACTTATATCTCTGTTTTCTGATCTGTAAAATGGGAATAGAAACCATATCAAACTCACAGGGTTGTTTTGAGTTTTAAATAAGACAGTTCATGAGAAGTGCTTAGTATAGTGCCTGTTGTACACAGTATATGTTCAATAAATATTAACTTTTAGTCCTGGAGAAAATAAAGTTCAAAGACATTCAGAGACTTAAAAGTCTCTTCCTTTTTTTCTGAATTCCCAGGAAAGCTAAGAAGTTCTAGCCAGTACATCAGAATGGTGCAGATCAAATAAAAGTCCTCAGGGGGAGAATCAAGCCATATCATGTGGTGGATGGAGAACCCATAAGAAGGCAAAGTCAGGGCATCTGGGTCTGACACTAGGAAATATTACTATGTGTCTAATCCTCAGAGTCCCTTCTTGTTCCTTGAGGTCCCAAGTTCTTCCCATCTCTAGGGTTCTTAGTCAAGGATAGACTTAAGATAACTCAAAGGAAAATGAGATTGGTGGTAAAGCCCTAGGGGCCTGTCACAAGCACTTCTACACTTAGAAACAGTGAAAGTGTGAAACAGCAGTAGTTTTTCCCCAGGAGACACAGCCCAGTGATAATGGCATCACCAGCTTTGCCCAATTTCCTTTGAGAAAACCAGTCTTCCCTAGTCTTCATACTGTCTTTGCCAGTGTACAAGATCCTTCTCACTCTAAGCCTTGGTGCCAATAAGTGTTTAGATAAGGAGAATCCGCTCACCAGTACATGAGGTTCTTTGGTGGGAAGGTATTTCCTTTTCCCAGCTCCTTACTTCCTCTCCTCCCCCATTAAACTCCCATCTTCTACATCTCTCACCTTGTATTCCTGCACCACCTCCTCCAATGGCACCACACTGTGCTGCTTGTGGCTCCTGGATTCTCGGCACACCACACAGATTGCTTCTTCATCCACTTCACAAAAGAGTTTCAGAGCTTCTTGGTGTTTCGGACAAACGCCCTGCTCATTCCCTCGGCTCCCCCGACCAGGTGCTGGATGCATCTGCCGAATCACCTGGACCATGTTGGCTAGCTGCAGATTGGGACGGAAGCTCCGCCTGGGAAAGCTCTTTCGGCACTGGGGGCAGGTGAAGCACCTCCGAGGGGCTGGAGGCGGGGGAAGTGATGTGACAGGGTCTAGCTCCTCTTCCTCATCCTCCTCCAGCACTTCTTCCTCGTCCTCCTCGTCCTCCCCCCTCAAGTCCTCCTCCATGTCCCCCAAGTAGTAGTCCAGGCCTTCTTCCTCATCCTCCTCCTCCCACACGTAGTCCATGTTGTCCCAGTTGGACCCGCCCATGCCACCGGTCCAGAACACACCTTCCTCTTCCTCCTCGACCTCTTCCTCCAAGTCGCCCTCATAGTCTTCATCCCTCATGGGGGTGTCCCAGCCCCCACCAGCCTCCACAGCTTCCACTTCCTCCTCTTCTCCATCTTCTTCCTCCTCCTCCTCCCGGTCTAACTCGTCCCTGTCCTCTTCATCCTCCCCTCCCCACAACTGGGTTACACACACTCGGCAGAAGTTGTGCCCGCAGCCGATGGACACCGGGTCCGTGAAGTAATCGAGGCAGATGGCGCACACCGCCTCCTCCTGAAGGGTCTGCACAGGGTTGGGTGCCATGGCAACGGCAGCCATCTTAATGTCCACTCAGCCAGTGTAGATGGTTTGGGGGGGGCGAGAGGTCTTCCCTCTCAGACGCCCTGAGATCCGGCCCCACCCCCAGCCCTGCTTCTCCACACCTTGCCTCAAGCGCAGGTAAAGAAATGTCCTCCCGAAAACCCACACCTCCACAGTTTCCTACTCCCAGACGACAAGCGTGTCTCTGAGAGGCAAGAGGACACAGCTGAACGCTACCGCCAAGTACCTCAGGTGGCCCTGAGTGCAAATCTGCCCCCAACGCTCCCTGGCCCTCCTCATAAACCCCCACCCCTCCTCACTTCCTGGCTACGCCCCCTCACTTCCGTTCTCTCTCGCAGCACTTCCGGTTCTCCCAAACCACCCAAGCTAGCGAGTTCTTCCGCGATCGCGTAACGATCCTCCCGCCCCGGCCCCAGACGACAGGAAACGACGGGAAGACGCTCTAGCATCCACTCGGGAATAGGGCGGGAGGAATAGAACGATGGAGGCCCACATCTCTGTGGTGTGGGGGAGTAAGAAACTTAGACGAAACAGAAGGACCGGCTTCCCCCACCCCCCGCCCCTGGGGATAAACTTCGGGACACGACGGAAGCCTTTGCGGCCGCCTGCTGTTGGTGCTATGACCGCACGGGCCCGGCGCCATCCTACCAGCCGGACACGAAGGACTGCAGCAACTACTCCCCACTGCTGATTCCGGAAGTGAAGTGAAGGGTCCGGGTGAGAGAGAGCCCTAAAGTACTTCCGGCCCTTCTAGGCAGAGGACTTTGTTGTTTGAGGACTTCGAGCGTCCCTTGGTGACCAGCAGGGGGCGGGGTCTGAAGGGTGCGGTGGGTGGGACCAGAGACCCTTCCTCTCCTCCGCACGATCGTTGGCATTTCCACGCCGATTATAGAAACTGCTGTCTGGTCACAGTCTAATTATATAGAACTGTCCTAAGCGCGTATCAGTAAAGGGACAATGGCGAGTCATTACATGCTCGTTCACATAGTGGAACATTCATGCTGTAAAAAGGAATCCTCTTCAAGATTTATGTTTATTTAGAGTACGTTTATTAAAGCTAGAGACGGTGAAACAAGGAAAGGCTAAGGTTAGAAGAAGCAATAAATAAAAAGAGTAGACCGGGCTGCTTTGATTCTCTAGAAATGTTATGGGAAATGAGTGATCCAAGGCAGGGCTGCTGTAGGATCATTGGAGAGTCAAAGAAAATGGGGCTTCCGGGGCAAGTTCAGGAGGTTAGCATGGCTGCCCATTGCTCCCTTGATTGCAAGTCTGGTAAAAACTCTCAGTTTAGGAGGTGCATGCCTGTGGGAGAAGAGGGACAGGGGAAAGGCGCGGTGTGCTCCCTGCAGAGCGCACTTCCAGATGTATTCATAAGTAAAAAAAGCAGTGTGTAGAGTGTACTGCCATCTGAAAAAAAAAAGGGGGGGGGGAGTGAGGGGGGGTGTTAAATGTATTTGATATTTTCATAGTCCTGTGTTTCCTCATATAAAATAAAGATAATAGTTCCTATTTTAGAGGGTTTTGTGAAATCAGAATTAATGTCATGCAAAGTTATAAAATGTTGCTTAGCACCTAGTGAGATAATAGGATTTAACTACTCATTATTGTCATTGTTGTAGTGTCTCTGGAAGAATACTAGTTGCAGGTGTTCCCTGGGAATGCCAAGTGTTTGGGACAGTAAGGATACTTTTTCTTTCATATATGTTGTTCTGTATCTTTTGAATTTCAAGCCAAATAAATGTGTTACCTTAAAGAAGAAATAAAACTTTTCTTCTTTTTTTATCCTCACCCGAGGACATTTTTTAATTTTTTGTTCAGATAGAGTGGAAGGGAGAGAGAAACATTGATGTGAAAGGGACACATCGAGTGGCTGCCACCCGGGGGCCGGGGACAAACTGCAACTGAGGTACATGCCCTTAGCGGGAACTGAACCCCGGTATCTCTGACCGCAGGCCGATGCTCTAACTACTGAGCCAAACTGGCCAGGGGAAAACTTTTTGTCTAAGTACCATCAGTTTCTGAGCTGTGCACTGCTAGTGCTTCATGCCCAAAACACCTTGAGGTCTGTTTTCATGTGTCCTAGTCTCTGAGCAGAGGCTCATAATGGGTTTGTGGTGTTGATTTTTCTTGAGAAAATCAAATCCCTGGTGTAGAACTGTATTAGATGTCACTGTGAACATCTCTGTCAAATAGATTATTTGTGCAAGAGAAATACTGTAATACTTGAAGCTTTTAAAAAATGTGTCATTTAATTTTTTTAATAAGACTGTGTGGAAGTTAAAGGACCATAATTCTTTTTTGTTTGTTTGTTTTGGGGTTTTTGGTTTTTTTTGTATGTGCCCCCAGCAGGAACCGAACCCAGGACTGTCTGGTCCACAGGGCGATGCTCCAACCACTGAGCCAAACCGGCCAGGGCAGGACCATAATTCTTGTACAGAATCCCCAGTGAGTGCCATCACTACATGATGTGGGTGGGGAAACTCCAAGTGGACCTGTGCTTCCTAAGGTGGTGGTGCCAAAACTACTAATCTTCATGGGTGAGCAATACTATGCCATTCCGGGAGCTGCGGGCCCTGCTGTGGTAGGAAGTGCAGCTACAACACCTGACCATAGATCAGGGACCATGCAGGGAACACACTGTCCAGTTGAGATTTGGGCTTCATTTTACCTGCCATTCCAGGCCATGGGTAGATTTAGGGTGGTGTCAGTCAATGTATATCAGTTTCTGTAGTGTAGTTTATTGCATTTGCTTCTCACGTGAAAGGTCCCAGGTTTGAAACCAGGTGGAAACAAGTTTTTTGGTCTACTTTTCATTTCTGCAATTACTTCCTCATCCCTGCATCTCCAGAACAGGTGGTTGTCACATGGGGCGAAGAGCATGTGTATGTGTATCTGTATCTCTGTTTTAGTGAGTGAGAGACTGAAGCAGAACCACAACAGGCCCTCCATAATGCTCGCAGTGTAAATTCAGGTCTTGAACCACAGCTAATCTTTTGATCTTCCACTGGGAAGCAGCTGGGCCATCTCCCATGTCCAGAGGCCTAGTGACTAGGACAGAGCCAGGCTCATAGCCAGGGCTCCATAATACTTGTACAGTTAGTTCTTAAAATGTATTCATATCCCTGCATCTGAATCTTGGTCTCTTGAGACAGAACAAGAGGACTTGGCTATTGTCAGACTAGCTCAGACAGTAGAGCATAAGACTCAATCTCGTCCGGCCGCTGTGGCTCAGTGGTTGAGTGTCGACCCATGCACCAAGAGATTTCTGGTTGGATTCCCGGTCAGGACACATGCCCAGGTTGTGGGCCCAATCCCCAGTCAGGGGCATGCAGGAGGCGGCCAGTCAATGTTCTCTCTCATCAATGTTTCTATTTCTCTCTCCCTCTCTCTTCCCTTCTCTCTAAAATCAACAAAGGAAAAAAAATTTTTAAATAAAAGTCTCAATCTCTGGGTCATGGGTTGAGCCCCATGTTGGGCACAATCTCTTTTATAAACCCACCATTCTGCTTGCTGAAATCCACGTACTGCCTACTTACCTTAACACCAACCAGGCACCTCTGTTTACCAAAACATGGGCACACCCAGGTGTGTGGGAAGAGAAGCACTAGGAAGAAGAACACATAGCTTCCCAAAGCTTCAGTAGGACCCCAGGACTGCCCTGGATATTCATCAGTTAAAACCATGGCCCTGTGATGTGCTAGCGCCTTACTAGAACCTATAGAGGTCCAGATTCCAGGTTCTCAATGCCACTACATGGTTTTCAGGTCAAGTCAAGAAAGAGGTACCCTTGGTAATCTGAGACCCTCATCTTCAATATATTCTCTTTACACTTCATTTTGAGCCTTGATCTTTTGCAAAGCGTTGCTCCACACATAAAGGAAAGTAAAAATATCCTTTATTTTGGAACACCCTACCTAACATGAACATCCTCAGTTTACCCGTCTTGTCACAAAAATGTTCCTTAACTGCAATTTAAATTCATTTCTTTTGTTTACTGTTTCCTTAGTCAGCCCATTTTTTATTTTCCCTCTGTTGAAGTCTCCCCACATACACAGCAGACCACAAGAGAAGTCTGCTGGTTATATAAATCTGGTGTATTAACCTTCTAAGCGAAGTATAGCAAAAGTGGTAAAGGAATGGGAGAGAATAATAGAGAACTAATTATAGTAAGGTACTAGCCATAGTTATAAGAAATGTTAATCATCCTTGCTCTGTTAATAGTGATTGCTTTGTTCCGATTAAAGAAAGCCCATTCTGACCTGGCTGAGAGCTGTACACTTTGGGAGTTTACCTCAGGAATGCTGTCCATTCTCCTTATTTTAGAAAAAGGGAAAACTGCTCAACATCATGGAAAGATTAACAACGTTGCCTGGCCAGTGTGGCTCTGGTTGAGTGTCAACCCGTGCACCAAGAAGAGGTCTCCAGTTCGATTCCCTGTCAGGGCACATGCCCAACCTGTAGGCCAAATCCCCAGTGGGGAGAATGCACGAGGCAGCCAATTGATGTTCTCTCTCATCGATGTTTCTATCTCTCCCTCTCCCTACCTATCTCTCTAAAATCAATGAAGAAAGGGGGAAAAAACTTTAAAAAAAAGAAAAGGATTAGAGAAGATGGTGGTGGGCAGGACCAGAGGGAGGGTGACTGTGTGAGAGAGTGTGAGTGGATGTGAAGGTGGACGACCAAACCAAGGCAGTGCAGAAACACGAAGCAGAAGGTTCCTATGCTGTGGACGGGAGCAGCCGATTAGATTACTGCGGTAAGCAGCCCTTCAGGGCGCTTCTCTCTGTGCCCCAGGGAAGTCCCACCATTTTAAAATATCTTGGATCTTCCCTGGGAGGAGGCAGTGGAAGCAACTAGGGCCCAGCAACCTGAGCCCACCAGCACACCTGGCACCATCGAACCAGTGCACACTCTGTATCAACACTGACCAGTGTGCAGTAGTGGAGCTCCCAAGGTGCCGGTCATGGAAGTCCAGTAGCCCACAAGAGCAGTGGGAAGCCTGAGCCCCAGAGAGACTGGTGCAATCCAGCTGCCCTCCCGCGGAAACTGCAGGGTGCAGAGGCAACAGAGAGGCCTGTGTGACCCAGCAGGGACTGTGCAATCCAGTTACCCATGGGATCTGCAGGGTGCTGAAGCACCAGAAAGTCCTGTGTGAACCAGCAAGGACTGTACAATCCAGTTACCCATGGGACCTGTGGGGTGCTGAAGCACCAGAGAGGCCTGTGTGACCCAGCAGAGACTGAGCAATCTAGTTACCTGCAGAGTGCTGAAGCACCAGAGAGGCCTGTGTGACCCAGCAAAAACTGAGCAATCTAGTTACACGCAGGACCTGTGGGGTGCTGAAATACCAGAGAGGCCAGTGCGACCCAGCAGGGACTGTGCCATCCAGTTACCCGCAGAACCTGCAGGGTGCTGAAGCATCAGAAAGGCCTGTACAATGCAGCTGTGCACAAGATAGGTATAGAAGATGTGAAAATGGAGGCGGAGTGAATAGAAGCTACGCAGAGGATCTCCCAGGACAAAATGGGAATTACAACTAAAATAAAGACAAATCCTTGGGAAAAAAGCAACAGAAAAGCAGCAGGACAGGATCATATAACCAGGGACACTGGTAGGATCTGCAGAGGCCCGAGAGGGTGGCTGGTGGGAGCCCACAGACAGCAGCAGTCTTAGCTGTGAGCAGCACCCTTGGGTAATAAAGACC